ATCAGTATTTAATTCTAAGGCAAATCATTATCCGTCTGATATAAAAACATTTATTTCGATACATATACATTTATAAAAATTACAAATCACGTAATACTTTACTTTATAAAAGTGAAACAATAGATTTGTAGGGCCTAGCTTCATCCTGATAAACGACCGAAACAATAAAATTCAAAAAGTCACCAACAAATCTGGGATTATTGAATAAAAATTGTGTATTTTAGTATTTATGAAAAATTTGGAGATATTTTTAATATTTTCTAACATATAGAGAATATTTTTTATTCATGATTTTTTTCGTTCGTCTTCGCGGACCCCCTAGGATTTTGCTACGGACCAGTAGGGGTCCGCGGACCCCCTTTTGGGAACCGTTGGACTAGACTATAGACTAGACTATAGACTAGACTATAGACTAGACTATAGACTAGACTATATACTAGACTATAGAATAGACTATAGACTAGACTATAGACTAGACTATAGACGTAATGCAGGCGGTTGTAGTAGCCATTGCGATGTTTTCGCTGGGACTTATTATGTCTTCATTGAATTCAAGACTAGTTGAATGAATAATTCTATGAATTTTCAATATATTTTGCAATTGCCTTTTTTTAATATAATAATTCATACTAATAAAAAGTTTTCAGTTACAATTTGCAAATAACAGATTAAGAAATATTTTCATATTTTAACACATTATTGAGCTGATGTGAATATTCGTTGCTTTTATATTTTTTCCTATTTATTCTTAAACAATAATTTACTTCTCTACATGCTAATTACTCGATATACAACACAGCCATTGTTGTTGCCACAGCCAACCAACATACGCACACAACTTGCAACGTTGATAATGTTGACGATGATGATGCCCTTCTCACATCATGCGGCATAGAAATTTAAATACAGAAGCTTTTCTTCGTGGCTCTGTTTTCTTGTAATTTTGAGAAAATTTGCCACTATATGGCAAGTAAGTATGTATGTATGTAGGTAGGTATTTTAGCAGTAAGTAAATTCTTTTTTCAACATGTTCTCATCAACATCATTTCTCATCATACTTAATCATCTTTCAAAGAAATAGAACCAGACGAGTCGAGATATTTACAGTGCGTTGTGTTTTAACATGAACCGGAGGGAGCCAGGACGTAAAGGAAACAATTTGCATTATTCCAATTGTGGAGTGGTGAAGACCACGCAGCTCGTTAGTGTAAATGTGTATTTAAGAAGGTGTAGAAATATGCCTGCAAGTGCGTTACAAATTTCCTTCCTAGAATGCAAAATAGCAAAAATAAAACTAAAACCCAGAGCAGCCTGCTGTTATCGTTTTGATGTTGTTGTTCACTGTTAGTGACTGCTGCTGCTGCTGTGTCTATAAGCTGCTGCATGCCTCATGCATCTATTACAAGTATACCGTGTAAAAGTGTACGAATACTAAGTTTTTTTCTTTTACATCTTTAAGTCATCATCATGTACGTGAGTTTGTACATTTGTAAACTGTGTTTTTTTTTCTATTCTATGAACAATTTGTTTTGTACTTGATTCCCTGCATATGGGAACATGATAATGTGGTCTATGTGGCATGATGTTGTTGTTCTTGTTGCTGTTTGTTGTTCATTGTTGCATTTGACTTATATGGCCCCTATTTGTGTGTGTTGTAATTACTTTGTCAGTTTGTTTCGTTTATCAGTATGTCTGTTACTCTGCCTGTTTTTTTTTTTTGTTATTTATTTATTTTCTCTTTTGCTGATTTGCTGATTTTTCACCCTTCATTTTTTTTGTTGGTTGCTGTTGCACTTGTATGTTCTTGTTGTATTTTGTGTTAAGAGTTCTTGACTTTTGTACTTGATGCCGCCTTAAATATAAATTCCTTTAGGTGATTTTTAAATACATTTGCAACGCTTTAATTAATAACATGATGTGGTAGAATAATAAATAATTGCAAATAAAACAAGTAGGAATGAATGTTGGGTTATCGGTAGTACTGAATCGTATACTGCCACCGCAGGAACTTGTACAGTGAATTTTTAAATGTGAAGAATTTTGTAGTATGTCATGTATATACCATGTAGTTTTCTTTCTATAAATCTTTTCAAATGACTAATGTTTGAAAATACTGCTCGGTACATAAAACGAATAACGCCAGATGAAATGTGATGTCCATCCATCCATCCATCCATCTGTCAGTCCATAAAAACTTCAGGTCGCAATTTTTAAGATAACTTGATGTAATTTGACACAAACGATTCCTTTTACCCAAGGACGAAGTCTATTGAAAAATGGTTGAAATCGGTTCATTATTTCTACTAGCTCCCGTGCAATCCTATCCCCAAATATTACTTTTGAGAATATAATTATGTATTCAGCAAAATTTTATTTTATGTAAGTCTAAATGATACTTCCGATTTTCGTAATGATCGGAAGTCATTTGACCCTCGGAATTAAGATAAAAACTACTTAAATACTTCCTAATTCATAATTTTAACTAGTGTAGGGTAACATGTGGTCGACCACATATGGGCAGTTGGGTTAATTATGGACCGATTGTCGTAAAATTTGATAGAAAGGTTTCGGTTCGTAAAATATTATTCGTTTCTAATTTCATCGCTCTACTCATATTTTTAATTCAGTCATGAGCGTAAAAGTAATTTTCTAAAGGGTACCTTATATGCGGGTAGGGTCAATTTTAAATTAATCCTCATTAAATTCGGAATGATTTTGTTTTTAAGTATAAACTTTTTATATAAATATTTTCGTTCCTGTAAAATATATCAAATTTCATAACTGTACACGTATTTGTCAGCCAGCAAATATCGTTAAAGTAATTTTCTAAAGGAGGTAGGGTCAATTATGGACAGATCCTAGGGTCAAATATGGACCGATCTACATAAAAAAGAGATTTTTCGAATTTGATCACTATACTCGTATTTTTAAATCAGTAATGAGCGTTAAAGTAATTTTCTGAAGCCGACCTTATATAGGGGGTATGTTTAATTATGTACCGATCCACATAAAATTTAGTAGAGAGGTTTTAGCTAAGACTTACTTATGTGAAATTTCATCGCCATAATCGTATTTTTAAGCCAGCAATGAGCGATAAAGTAATTTTCTGAAGGGAACCTTATATATATGGGGGTAGGGTCAATTATGGACCTAGCATGAAACTTATGAGTGTCGTCGCTATATTCATTTTCTGAAGGGGAATTTATATGGGAGGTAGGGTCAACTATGGACTGATCCATATAAAATTTGGTAGAGAGATTTTGACTGGCATGAAACTTATGTGTGTCGAATTTCTATTCGTATTATTAAGCCAGTAATGGGCATTGCAGTTATTTTTTGAAGAGGACCTTATATGGAGGGTAGGGTCAATTATGGACCGATCCACATAAAATTTGTTAGGGAGATTTTGGCTCGTAAGAGACTTGATTATGTCAAATTTCTTTGATACACTCGTATTTTTACGTCAGTAATGAGTGTTAAAGTAATTTTCTGAAGGGGACCTTCTATGAAGGGTAGGGTCAATTATGGACCGATCCACATAAAATTTGATAGGAAGATTTTTACTTATATGAAACTTATTTATGTCGAATTTCATCGCTATACTCATACTTTTAAAACAGATATGCCCATTGAAACTGTTTTTTGGGGGTCCTTTTGTATGGGGTCTATCCGAAAACGTGGACCGATATGGCCCATTTTCAATACCAAACAAACCTTACGTATAGAGAATAATTTCAACCCTCTATCTCATTCTGTTCGGACTCTATCGTGTTTTCAACAGACAGACTAACGGTATAAAACTTGAATGATTTTCATATAAGTTCATTGTTTTATTACGATTTTATCTCTATACCGTTTTCAGAAGCGTGAGAGATTTCTAACAAATTATGGACCACGACTTATTTTCGTATAAAAGTTATTTATTTTGTATTGACACCTATTTAATGATTTCCTAAAGATTACATATATCGAATCTAATAATGGACGTATCCTAGTAAGCTATTTTCTTTTTCTCAAAACAAAACAACTCCTTATTTACTGGCGATCGTAGTAAGTACTTACTCAACTCCCTACTTTTAAGCGAGTGTGGTAAGTACTGATTTAAATGTCATTACCGTGTTTAAATAATGACTTAAAATGCCATTGTGTAAGTAAATTTTAGCATTTAAATTCCTTGCTGTTCAATGAGGAGGAAAATCCGAAAATGCACTTAGAAAATAGTGCTGAGGCGATTAGTGTACAAATATTGGGATCGATAAAACCACCAGCAGCTTTCGTCTTTAATATAATAGAAGATCAAAAACCAATTTTCATTTCATTTTGTTGAAATTGCGAGCCGCCTATTGTTTAAAATCGCAAAAGTCAATAACCGTATATTTGTTTTTCAGAAAAAATAGATACATATGTTTTGTTTGTGTCAATCAAATAGCGGTTAATACTAAATTAAATCAATTGCTAAATACCAAAATACTTCCACTATTATTCTATATTTTATTATAATTTATTTATTAAGAATTTTCTCAGAGTATTGACTTGATGACACTGAGCTTCCAGCTGGTCTAGACAAATACCTTCAACAAATACATTAATTACGTTTTCTGAAGTGTTTAGTAATTTCTCAATTCGGTAGAAAATCTCTTAAATTTTCTTTCTAAACTTATGATTATTAACACTTCAAAGTAAGGACAAATATTCCAAATAAATATAAATATTTACTAAAAAACTTGAAGTAACATTTATTAATATGTTTGAATTTTCATACAGTTCTTTAGAATAGCAATAAAGACGGAGAAAAAAATCCCTTAAATTGTTATTAAAGTTTTATTATAAATTTAGATAAAAATTTATACAATATTGACATTAAATTGACGTAAAATTTTGTTTATTTTTAACAGTTCCACTTCAATCATTGCTAAAAGATAAGAATTTAAGTTTTAAAGTACTTCCGCTTTACTTTTCTACGGCTATAAATAGTGAAATTTTAAAACATTTTTATATCATTCATATTTGAGATTTTGCTCAGTGTTTATAAGAAAGTTATTTAATTAAAATGAATTTTTATAAATATTTTACGATCTTGCTCATTGTGGTTTTGTGCTTGACGGTGCCTCAAACAGAGGCAGGTTTTCGCAAAAGATTTAACAAATTGGTGGTAAGTGGAATGTTAAATTTTAAGCGGATTTGCAATAATTATATTTCTTTAATTAGAAAAAAGTGAAACACACTATTAAAGAAACTGCCAATGTTTCCAAGGATGTTGCAATAGTGGCTGGTAGTGGGGTGGCTGTTGGTGCTGCCATGGGTTAAATAATTTAATATTTAATTGTACTAACTAAAAATCTAAATAAATTATAAATGTGAGTGATCAAGCCAGAAAATAGTTGTGTTTTTTTAAACATATTTTTACTAAATTAAAAGTCTCTTTTTACAATATGTAGGCAGTTTTATTAAACCTGACTTAATCGGTTTGGGTCAGAGGTGTTGCTGCAATCAATTTTAGCTTCATATCACAAATTCCCATTAAAGTTTTTGTGTTTCTTCTTTTTAAAAAAAAACGTGTGTATTCGAAATCTGCTCATATGTATTCTGTTGCATATTTTTTCAGCCTGAACTTGAAAGCTGAGTGTTAAAAACAATATTAAATATCATTGATTTTTGGTCATGGCCTCCTCTGAACTTAACCCTGAACTTAGACGTTTCTGACAATATAGAACATTTATTATCTTTTTCTTAACTTGCTTTTTGTTTTTCAGCTTTTCAGTTTTTTTTTTCTCGAAAATCTGCTGCATGTTGGTTGCATTTAGTGTCGTTATGTAATCGGTTGGGTTAAAATTTAAAAACTGCTAATAGGAAATTAATGGAATAGTAAACATTTTTTGTCATTCATTGTCATCACATTGTCATTCGTAACAGTGATAAATTTTCTATCACATTTGTTAAAGAAAAATTATCACTGTTGCAAATAAATATAATTTTTCTATAGAATACAGAACATTGCCAATACAGAACATTCTTCTATAGAAAAGTTATCAGTATTTCAAACAATGAACATTTTTCTATTGAAAAATTGTCACAGTTACAAATAATGCGTGGCCTCCAGTAGGCTAGTGGTTGTGTGTAGTGTGGTAGATTCCCACCTGAGGCACTGGTTAAGGCCCGATAGAGGCCTAAATGTGTTTCGGAGTTGAGGATATACAGCTTTCCAAAGGACCGACCGACCGACCGACCGACGACCGAACGAACGAAAACGAACGAACGAACGAACGAACGAACGA